ACTACTACTACTACTACTACTGAAGACGATGACGAGGAGGACGACAACGATCACAGCCACTGCCCATGAGCTATCATGCTCCTTCGATCTCCCAGTACCCCCTGCGGCCGCAGCTACCACTGCTATCAAGAATAGCTGTGATACGATTAGGGTTTGGGGTTTAGGGTTTAGGGAGATGCATATCATTCTAGTCTACCTTCCCCAAAAAACTGAAGACGAGCCTAAACCAGACCCTGAACCCGAAACCCTTAACTGCCCGAGCTCAGGCCAAGGGTCATGTTAAAGAAGGCCTGCAGCGCCGTGCCCGTCAGGTACGACCCGAGGTATCCAGGAAGGAGCATGCCAAGACATAGGTGAACAAGGCCTGCGAAGCCCATCCTGAGGGGTTCCGGGTTTAGGGTGTAGGGTTTAGGGTTTAGGGTTTAGGGCTTCGGCTTTAGGGTTTAGGGTTTAGGGTTTAGGGTTTAGGCTTCGAGCGTTCGGGGCTCAGGGTTGAGGCTTCCCGGGTTGGATGATCTTGTTTACGGACCTCGTGAGGGCTTTAAGGACTTAGGATTCTGGGGTTGGCGGTCCCGATACACTTCGGACGCTATTTCAACAGGGTTGGATCTTTGGCAGTTTGGGGTTTAGGGTTGTCAACCCTAAACCCTAAACCCTGAACCCTAAACCCTAAACCCTGAACCCTAAACCGTGTGTTTGGGATCTGCCGACATTCCGGAAGGTGGTGTGGGGCGAGTGCTACAAAAAAAAGAGAGCTATGGCGTAGAATGCCGCACCGACTCATGATGCACCCTAAACCGTAAACCCTAAGCCCTAAGCCCTCATTGCCCATAAACTGCCACGATTGCGCAGATGGTTCCCATCATTCTTCATCAACCCCGAGCCCCTAAACCCAATGCTCTACACCCTGATTATGAGTGCTTTGTTGATCACAACAGGGTTTGGGGTTCTGTTGTACTACCCTGACAAGGAGCAGAAGGGTTGTGGGCCATTTTGAACTATGCTTATCATCAAATATCCCATCCCCATATTATCGAACTCTTAAAGCCCTCAAAACCCTAAACCCCAAACCCCTAAAAGCCCTCAAAACCCTAAACCCCAAACTCATAAAAGCCCTCAAAACCCTAAACCCCAAACCCCTAAAAGCCCTCAAAACCCTAAACCCCTGAATTTCCAGGACCGGGCATCCCAGTCAGTGCAACCTTTGCCGTGTCGAGAACTCTGCTCAGACGAAGCCTCCGACACAGTGGGTTTAGTTTAGGGTTCAGGGTTCGGGGTTTAGGGTTCAGGGTTTAGGGCTTAGGGCTTAGGGCTTATGGTTTCGGGCTCAGGGCTTAGGGCTTAGGGCTTTGGGTCTAGGTTTCGGGTTTAGGGCTTAGGGCTTTGGGCTTAGAGTTCAGGGTTTAGGGCTTAGGGCTTAGGGTTTCGGGCTCAGGGCTTAGGGCTTTGGGTCTAGGATTCAGGGTTTATGGCTTAGGGTTTAGGGTTTAGAGCTTGGGGCTTAGGGCTTAGGTCCTAGGGTTTAGGGTTTCGGGTTTAGGGCTTGGGGCTTAGGGCTTAGGGTTCAGGGTTTAGGGCTTAGGGCTTAGGGTTTAGGGTTCAAGGTCTAGGGTTTGGAGTTTAGGGTTTAGGGCTCAGGGTTTGGGGCTTAGGGTATAGGGTTCAGGGTTTAGGTTTGGGGGCTTAGGGTTTAGGGCTCGAGGTGTAGGGTTGATGGCTTAGGGTTTAGGGTTCAGGGTTTAGGGTTTGGAGTTCAGGGTTCAAGGTTTAGGGTTTGGGGCTTAGGGTCTAGGGATAAGGGTTTAGGGTCTGGGGCTTAGGGTTCAGGGAAAAGGGTTTAAGGTCTCGAAAATGCAAGTCGAGTCTACGGGATAATGAGTTTTCATGGGTCTTTCTGGCCTTTATGTGAAGCGTTCACGGAGCTAATCGGGCTGACATCAACACAACCCTAAACCCTTGAGTTTGGGGTTTAGGGCTTAGGTAAACCCTAAGCCCGAAACCCAAAGCCACTTGGTGCGGCTTTTCTGGTATCTAACTCCATTCTACGGAAGCAAGCTGAAACCCTACAACCTCGACGCTAAAGCCATTGAAATGCTGGAGCCCCCCGCTCCAAAATTTGCAGGCCACCACCCTCTCTACACCTAATATAGGGGCTTTAATAATTACCTATAGTATTTCAGCGGTTCCTTATTCTAATTACAGTATAAGTATATTGGGCCCCAAAACCCTGTTCTAATTATCTA